CTCATGGCAGCCCAGCTCCAGGTTGAGCTGTTGTTCAGCATCTTAGCTGTGGAGGGCAGTGTCACTGGCCCTCCTATGTGGGATCCGAACCGGGGTCCTCTGGCATCCCAAGCGAGTTCTTAACCATCGCGCCACTCGGCCGGCCCGAATTCATTTATTTTTAATACTCATTTAAGACTTACCATGTGTCGGAATTGGATAGACACTGTATGGCTCTCAAATCTTAAAATATTTGCAATTTGGCCCTTTACAGAAAATGTTTGTGGGCCCTCGTCATAGAGTATGGTCCACAGGAGTTCAGGATCTGGTTGAACTATTGGGTCGTCGGGAAAGTCATGACTCATTTTTGCATTGAAAAACAATACTTTCGGGCCGGCCAAGTGGCGTGGTGGTTAGAAGTTGGCTTGGGATGCCAGCTCTGAGCAGCAGGGCCCCGGTTCAGATCCCACATGAGGGCCAGTGACGCTGTGCCCTCTACAGCTAAGATGATGAACAACAGCTCAACCTGGAGCTGGGCTGGTGTTGAGTTGCTGGCGGCAGGCATGAGCTTGCGTGAGGGGCCGTCCAATGGCAGGTGAGCGACTGCTTAACCCAGGAAGAGAGCAATGATAATATCAACATGGGCCAATGAAGCGATGTCCTCCACAACTAGACTGAAGAACAAAAAATGACAGCAACTAGTCTGTTCCCCTCTTCCAATTCCCCAATAAAATCTTAAAAAAAAAAAGAAAAACACTTATTTGATAGAATTGGAGTGTTTCATTAGGAACTATAATAAAAACCTTGCCCTTGAAATGGGCAGAAATAAATGTTTTGACTTGTTTCAATTACTTGGGAAATACCTTGTTAGTCAATGCTGTGTATAAAACGTGCACGTTTTCATTTTCCTGTAGTCACTGAAAATTGAGCTGTATTTTTACAAGAATATAGATGTTCTCCAAATCATTGTATTTTCACACACTGCTGCACACATCGCATAATTTTTCCGTAAGTATAACCAGGAGTCTCTGTTATTTTAGGGAGTTGGGAAACTGCATTTCTCTGCATTTCTCTGAGGTAGGAGGAAGCCTGGACCGATAACACTAGCAAGGTTGTGCGCATGCGCGTTCTCGCTCAGGTATCGTTGGCGCCAAGGCTGTGCAGGCGCGTTGCGTAGGGGCGGGGCTTGCGGTCGGCGTCTTTTCCAACTGCGGCTGGAGGCAGCGCCATTTTGAACGTGCAGGCGTGAGTGGGAGCGGGCAGTGCTGTGGCCTAGCGACCTCCGGGTCTTTTCTGGCTTTTTCCTTCCAGTCGCGTCTCCCTAGGGAGATACGGAGACACAGCTACAGCTTTAGGGTTGGCTCCAGGGCCCGAGGCGAAGCCCTGGGATGATGTTGAGAGGAAACCTGAAGCAAGTCCGCATTGAGAAAAACCCGGCCCGTCTGCGCGCTCTCGAGTCGGCGGCGGGCGAGAACGAGCCGGCGGCTGCCATGGCGCTCGCGCTGGCCGGGGAGACGGCGCCATCCGCGCCCGCGCCCGCGGAGGAGCGCCCTGACGAAGAGGTGGGCTTCACCATCGACATCAAGAGCTTCCTCAAGCCCGGCGAGAAGACGTACACGCAGCGCTGCCGCCTCTTCGTGGGCAACCTGCCCACTGACATCACGGAGGAGGACTTCAAGAGGCTCTTCGAGCGCTATGGAGAGCCCAGCGAGGTCTTCATCAACCGCGACCGAGGCTTCGGCTTCATCCGCTTGGTGAGTGTGGGGCGGGCCGCGGGGGCGGGCGGCGCGTGCCCTCATCTCAGTCCTGCTCGCCGGCTGCGTGGTCCTCTCCCGACCGGCGTGTAGCCCGTGTTTCCGAGCGGCCTGCCTGGCTGACGGTGAACCTGTGCAGCCGGTCGTGGTTACCGGTACCGAGAAGGCTCGGGGTGAGACCTTCTGCAGGCGAAATGGGGTTGGAACGGAACTGAATTGGATAGGAATTAGGAACGGGAGCTTCGGTTTTATCGGAATCCTCATGGGGCACAAAGGCCCACCCAGCCGACTCCTCTCAATATCAGTCTGTGTCATCCCTTTGGCTTCCACCAGACCTGCATGTGTTTAACGGTAAATCCCGTTATTTCTATTTCTTACCTCGCTTCGCCGCTCCGCGCAGCCCGCCATTTATCCTGCACTCTGCAGTATTGGGACAGTGTGGAATTGTTAGGTATCTACAATAGTATAATGTGTCCCTCCCTACCAACATTTCCACGTTTTGGAATTATATGCTAGTATACTTAAATATTTTCATACTAGGTTACTATTTATTTTGTCCCTTTTTGATCTAAATCTTAAAAAGTTATCCAATAGTATGCACAATTTGTGCCTTCCCTACATTTAAAAAAATTTGAAAAGTGAGGTTTACACTTACAGGGCAAAGTATCTACTTTATTAGGTTTTCCTGTGTGCTTTCTGGAGATTTCCATCAGTGTCAATTATACAGTATTGTAATTCATATTTAGATGCTGGATTTTTTTCTAACAAAATATCTCTTGGAGAGAATTTTACACAACTAAGTGATTTTTACACAAATAAGTATATGTGCTGTCTAGTTTGACCCTCAAATTTGACGTTCATTAGATTGTGGAAGCTTTGTTATGGGAACTGGAGCTTTCAAAACCTGGTTTTCTCAATGAGTGGACAAGGCAAAATTTTACTATGTAGAGAAAATTGATTGTAATTAAATGACACGTTTTTAGGGGGAACATTTGTAAAAGGCTTCAAGAGAAGAGTAAATGTTCATAGGGTATTAATGAGACACGGAAGTTTTCTTAAAATTCAAGTTAAACAGTGTATTTTGAACATAAAATTATAAGTGCACTTAATTATCTTTTGGACATTAGAGAAACAGTCTGTCACTTGGTAAATGGTTTTTTTTTTTTAAGATTTTTATTGGGGAATTGGGGGGATGGGAACAGCGCTGGGGAATTGGGGGAAGGGGAACAGACAAGTTGCTGTCTTTTTG